GCGCGGGCGCCCCTTATATAGCGTCTGTGCTGCAGCCCTGGGCGGCGCCGGCCCACTCCTGCGCCTGCGCCTGCGCCCGCCTGCGTCTGCGTCCCGCGCACGCCGCCCTGGCCACTCGCGGATCGTCATAACCCGATGCCGCATGTACAATGCACCGCCAGCACTAAAAGAGGAACTGAGGGTTGGCCTGCAGCGGCCGCGCGCCATTGGGCCCCGCCGCGCATCCCCCTGGCCGGCCTGGCCGCCTGCGCCCCGCACAATCGCCGCTCCCCGCCCGGCTTGTGCCCGCGCTGGGCCAAGCCACCCGCGCCATTGTGCGCCGCGTCGCTGCGGGCGACGACGCCCGGCTAAAGCGCAACGAGCGCGCAATTGTGGCACGCCGCGCTCCCCGTGCCCGGCCCAGTTTGGACAAATTGGCCTGCGCGCACCGCGCCCGACCGCCCGCACGCCCGGTGGCGCTGCGGGCGGGGGGACACCCATATGCACCCGGGCCCAGCGCACATTTGTGACATGCGCCCGGCCCGCCGCCCCCCCTCCCCGATGCGCCACTTCGCCTCGCCCCCTCTCTCCGAGATGCCGTCGTCGAACCCTGGGTCGCCCGAGCCGAGAGCCGTGCCGCCGGCTCCGACCCCGCCCGCCGTCGTCGCGACGCGCTGCGCGTGGGGCAGCTGCGCGACCCAGCTCGCCTCGATGCACCTGCTGTCGGGGCACATCTCGGCCAGCCACATCCTGGCGCTCGACGCCGAGACCGGGTTCGCCTGCGCCTGGCGCGGCTGCCCGCAGAACGGCGAGCCGCTGCCCAGCTACCCGGCCCTGGTCGACCACCTGCGCGCGCACACCGGCAACCGCTCGTACCTGTGCCCGGTCCCCGCCTGCGGCAAGGTTTACAAGCGCTCCGACTTTTTGACAAAGCACATCAGCGCCCACGCGGACCCGCCGACCGCAAACGGCCACCCGCAGCGCCGCCGCCGCCGCCCGCCGGGCTCCCCCGTCGAGTCGACCGCGGGCAGCGACAGCGACAGCGCCCCCGCTGCGCCCGACACGGACGCCCACGTCGCGATGCTCATGGCGCAGCTCGCGTACATCCGCAGCCAGGTCGCCGAGCGCACACGACAGCTCGAGCGGCACCGCGTCAAGGCCCGCCGCCTGCGCCTGGAGAACGATATCCTCATTGACGCGCTCGCCCAGCAATGACACGCCTGGTGCAGCAAAAAATAAAATTAAAGCAAAAAATGCTCCATGCCAGGATCGAACTGGCGACATCCGCGTAGCTCTTTCATAGTGTGATCACCACTATAAGCACGATGCTCTAACCAACTGAGCTAATGGAGCCAGAGTTGCCACACCTCGTTTGCCAGTCGCCCTTTTGAGCCTGCGCACTGCGTTGTGCGCAAAGACAGCGACTGCTGGCGGCCCCGTCGAGCTGCCTTTGGGCCCGCCCTTTGTGTGAAAAGACAGCCCGCCTGGGAGACCGCGTGGAGGCTTTCTGCCTACCACGTGCAGACCCCGCGGCGATCATCCCCACCACGCGGGCTTGCTAGAGACCGCTACAAGCGTGCCGCGACCTGCCGGCCCCCGGGGGTTGTCTCATGTCATTCTCGGGGGCCTTTTGCTTGCGACTATGTAGCGAATAGACATCGTTTGCCAAGCACCCTTTTGAGCCCACGCGCTGCGTAGTGCGCCAAGGCAGCTGCAGCTGATAGCCCCATCAAACTGCCTTTGGGCCCGCCCGCTCACCCTTTGTGTGCCAAGACAGCCCGAGGCTACGTAAAGGCATTTTGACTACCGCGTGCAGACGCCGAGGCGATCATCCCCCGCACGCGCGTGCTTGGCAGAAACCACGATAAATGCGCCGCGGCCCGCCGGCCCCCGGAGCGGTCTCTCTTGTCTTCGCTCGGAGTTTTTTGCTTGGGACAAAGTACTGAATAGGCACCGTCCCCCCCCCCCCCGCCACACCGCACCAAACGCAATGAAGGTCACCATTGTTCTGGCACTACTCTGCGCGGGCGCACACGCCGCAACAGAGCTCACTGCCACCCCGTTCCTCGGCGCCACAGAATCCAAGTTTGGCCCTACCATCGAGGGCGCTGCCGTCGACAAGGCCGGCAACATTTACGCGGTCGATTTCGACAACAACATCGCCACGGCAGGATCCGTGACTGGCCCGCAGAAGCAGCTCTTCAAGGCCCCCGACGCCGAGGCGCTGATCAACGGCATCCGCTTTGCCGTTGACAAGTCTGGTGCGGAGGAGGCATACGTCGTCGACGCAAAGTTGCACCAAGTGTACCGCCTGAGCGGCCAGCGAGGTGCTGACGGCACATTTGCCAACTCGGGCGTGTTCTGCAAGGACAGCACGATGCTCCAGCCCAACGACATTGCCATCGCGCCGTCCACCGGGCGCATCTTCCTCTCGGGCATGAACTACACCGCCGACTCTGTGATCGGCAATGGCGACCTCTGGACGTGCGGCGCAGATGGCGTGGCCAAGCGGCTGGGCCAGTTCTACCGCACCAACGGCATCGAGGTGAGCCCGGACGAGAAGACATTGTACCTTTCCGAGGCGGAAAACAAGAAAGGCGCAGTCACTATGAACCGTGTGCTTGCATTCGACCTTGACGCAGCCACGGGTGAGACAAAAAACAAGCGCGTCTTTGTCGATTTTGGCGAGCTGGACAAGTCGGCAGCCACCGACATTGATGGCATGCGCACCGACGTCAGCGGCAACCTCTACGTGACTCGCAACGGCATTGGCAAGGTGTCGGTTTTCGACCCGTCGGGCAAGCTGACCGCAACGATCTCAACGCCGTCGATCGACAGCATCACCAACCTCGAATTTGGCGGCCCCGCCGGAACCGACCTGTACATGGTGGGCAAGTGCAAGGATACCCCTGCCAAGGGCTGCGTCGATGTCCTCAAGGGCCAGGCCGTCGGCAACGCCCTCAAGCGTCTCGGTGGCGGTGGTGGTAGCACAAAGTGTGGTCAGTAGAGATTGACATTTTCTGGCTCAGCACAAATCTAATGACAGAGGTGGGGGCGCCTCATCCGGCCATGTTACCAGTGGTCAGCCGGGTGTTGTCGCCTTCACGGTCTAAAACCTGTATGCTGCTGGCTGTCGATGCGGGCTGGGATTGCGATGGGGGCCTCTGCTCGGCGGTCGCCTTGTCGTCGGGTATTGGCGAGCTGTAGTATGGCTGGCCGCGGTACCAGCCCTGCGCGTCCGAGATGCCACGCAGCAGGCAGGCCTGGCGGATCCACACAGCCAAGGCCAAGCCGGCCACCATCAGCGCAATCTCGCCGGCCAGGATGCCGGCCTCGCGGGCAGCTTCCCTGTGGGCGCCGGTGGTGACGCGCAGCGAGATGTTGGCGCCGTTGTAGAACGGCAGCGCGTAGAATATGCGGAAGAATGCGGGTGCCAGCTCCACCACGGTAACTGTGGACACGACGTTGGGGAGGATAGTGATGATCGACGCAAGCGTCACGGTGGACGGCGTCAGCACCAGAAACAGGCTGAACATCCACTGCGCGCAGGCCATGGTCACGCCAGCGCTGGTGAACCAGAGCTTGAAGAACGTCGCCGCCGTGTACGGCAGCGCCAGCTTGTCATAGTTTGGCCCACGGAACGCCACAAACGCCAGCGCTTGATACAGCGACAGGATGAGCGCGGTGCACAGCAGCAGCACAGACCACATTGCCACGAGGTCGCGGTACCGCACCTTGGCGAAGAACGCAAACGACGACAGCTTCCACGGAATCAGGATGCCCACCAGGCACAGGGTGATGTGCAGGTAGCCGAATGTCGACATGAGCGGCGCAATGGAGAACCCGGCGGGGGCCACGTCGACGATCGTATAGCCGATCGGGTTGGTCACCGCCACGTAGTTTGTCTGGCGCTGCGGCTGCGGCGGAAGTGCCTGGAAGGCGGTCACCAGCTCCAGCGCGAGCTGCCGGGAGACGGTCTGTGCGGTGGTGATCAGCGTCGGGGTGACAAACAACATCTCGGTGGTGTAGTGGCGGCCGCTCGATATGATCACAGTCATGACGTCTGTCGGGCTGTAGCTGGCGCCGGCGTACAGAGCGCGCTCCAGCCGCTCGGTCGCGCCGCTGTTGATGACGAGGGCGCCCCAGCCATGGCGGAGCACCCACGCCTTGGCCTCGTCGAGCGAGCTGACGCGGGGGCCCGGCACCCACGTGGGCGCTGTCGGCTCCGGCTTGGCGGCGAACACCATCTGCGTGACGTTGCCGCCGATGCTGCCGCCGTCGAGGTCAATGACATGCAGGCCGATGTTGTGCGCCCTGGTGCTGCGCTCGTATGCGGCGCCGAGGAACAGCGACAGGCCGGTCCAGATCATTACCGAGCAGATGACCGCCAATATGAGGTAGTGGAGCAGCCGCCGCTTGAACTCGGCGCGCATGCCCCTGTCCGCCAGCCCGACGCGCCCGTCGTCCTCGCCGGGCAGATGGCGCCAGGTGTATTTCCCGAGCATCGCGCGCCGCAGGGGTGTGAAGAAGAGAGGGCGCCGTGTGCCGCTGTGGAGCAGAGATGTTGCGGCCATTCCAGGCCGCGCGGGAGACGGGCACCCCACGGACTAGGCCAAGTCCGTTGCGGAACGGGAAAAGCCTGGGGGTGACCAGCTCCGCGAGTGGCTGCGGCATCCCGCTGGGGACCGGCACCGATCGCCCGGATTTGTGGCGAGGGCACGCGCAGCACTGGTTCGGCGAGCCGGCACCCGCAGAGCGGCGAGCCGGAGTTTGATCTGCCCAAGGACCGGCCGGCGCTTGCTTCCGGCGCACTCTGTCTCATCGCCAGCCTTTTTCTTCCACTCTTACTCCCCCTGAGAGGGACGCCATTCTGCTCGCAATGGAGGGCCCCGGCCGCGACGAGATCATACAGCTCATACTGTGCCAGCTGTCGGAGTACGGGTTCTCGAACCTGAGCCAGGCAATCGCAGCGCACACAAAGGTCCCAATGACCGCAGACAGCAACTCGCGCCTGGCCGACCTCGTGCGGCTCGGGCTGCAGAGCGAGGCACAGGGAGGAGGCGCCAGCGCCAGCGCAGAGGCGGACGCCAACACCGATGCGCACTCGGTGGGCGGGGCCAGTCTCGACGAGGCTGGCGGCGACGGCGGGCCGGCGGGGCCGTGGCGGGTGCTGTGCAAGGTGAAGCACCGGGGCGCGGCCAGCGCGGCGGCGTTCAGCTGCGACGGGCGGTACGTCGCAACGGGGGCGGCGGACGCGACGATAAAGCTGGTCGACATGGACCGGGTGGCGGGCGCGGGGCGGCAGGGGGACGCATCGGCGGCGGTGGTGCGCACGCTGCAGGACCACGAGGCCGGCGTCAGCGGGCTGGCGTTCCACCCGAACGGGCTGGTGCTGGCGTCGTGCTCGGCGGACCAGACGATCCGGCTGTTCGACCTGAGCGTGACGCACGGCACCAACGCGTTCCAGAGCTTCCGCGACAGCCACGCATTCCGGTCGATCGCGTTCCACCCCAGCGGCGACTACATTGCGGCAGGCGGCGATGCGCCCGAGGTGCGGCTGTACAGCGTGCGGTCCGGAAAGGCGTACCTGCTGCCTGGCACCGGCGGCGGCGGCGGGCCCAGCCCAATGAACCACACGGCGATGATCACCCACGTGAGCTATGCGGCCAACGGGGCGGCGGTGGCGAGCGCGTCGCGCGACGGGTCGGTCAAAATCTGGGACGGCGCATCGGGCCGGTGCGTGCGCACCATCGACCGCGCCCACGACGGGCGGCCCGCGACGGCTGCCGTGCTCTCGCCGGACGCCAAGCACGTCCTGACCGCCGGGCTGGACTCGTGCGTGCGCCTGTGGGACGCCAGCAGCGGACGGGTGGTGCAGGAGTACACCGGCGCCAGCATGGACGCTGCCGGCGGCCCCGCGGCGTTCTCGCACGACGGCGCGCAGGTCATGGCCGCCGACGCCGCCTCCAACTCGGTGGTCGCCTGGGACGCGGCCAGCGGCCAGCTGCTGACCCACGCGGCCGCGCACAGCCAGCGGATCTCGTGGCTTGTGCCATCGCCCACCACGTCGGCATTCGTGACGTGCTCGGACGACGAGTGTGCCCGCATCTGGGGCCCAGCGACGCACTGACGCGCTGCCCGTTTTTCTCCGAGCATCCAGCGGGCGGGGGAGCGTTCTGTGCGGGAAACCCCGGCCCTGCCAGTCGTCGTCTTTTGCTCTGTTTGTGATGGCTGACATCGCCTTTTGTCGTCCGCAGCGGCGGCTGGTTGGGCAATGAATTGCCGCTGACAGGAGACGCGTGGTCGGCGAGCCGGGCGGCGGTCGTCAGATGTGGACTGTCCTTGCCCGCGAG